AAACAACTTTGATTCAAAATAATAATCAAGGGTCAAAAGAAAACTACAACACAAAGTCTTCACCAGTGTAGGGCCGGCTTCCATCTTCCACTAATAGATATTACCAGGGTCACGCCATCTTTATGGAACCTCACCTATAGCAACAGTGAGTAGCAAGGGGAACAAAAGGAAGGTTGAATGCAATGAAATATCCCGTAAGTGTGGTAAATATGTCGTGAGGCTGAAGTCAAGGAATGCTTCTTTGATTTGACTCATGCTTATGCAACACATCATAAGTTACCTAAAATCTTACCACCTATCCCTTCAAAAAAAGAATATTAGATCTCTTAACTAGGTGCATATATATTCCAACCCAAACATGATCCAACCTGATCTAGCCACAAGATTATGTTCCATCTAATGAATGGAAACAACTTCTCTATTTGAACCACACAAATCTCACTACTTAGGAAAAAGTTTAGGCCCCTTTTGATATATCGGTTTTTCACTCTACAGAGATTGCACATCAATGCCCCACAAGTCAAGTTTTCACTTTTACGCTTCACATCTCCAATACGATCAACATGGTCACACTACAAGTCCATTACAGAGTTGTGATTCCTACTCTAGCACACCTAACAAGGTTTTCACCTCTAATAGTGTGGTACCATATATATCACCACTGCATGCAGCGCCCTATGCTAGTTGCCACATGCATGCAATTCTCCAACCATGAACCAAATTAGGTAGGCAATTAATTGGTAGGTCCAGAGCTATTATAGGCCTCGTGCTTATGTAATTTATTAGGGTTGCATGCTCTATGAATCGATTCATAGAATCTGAGAATAAACTCCAAACACCATACAAAACCAAAGAATCCATGCATCCTACTCAATTTCACCAACCCATAACTAAGATCTCATAAAAGGTTTCTAGGTTTGCCAAAGTTCAATAGCATTGGGAAATTTCAATTGAATCACTCAAACCCAACTCAGGCTTGCAAGGGCTAATAAGCATGAATCTACCCAAACCAACCCTACAACAACATATTGGGAATTTGGGCTTGACCTCTTGACCATTTCATACTAAGCATATTTGAAGACTCTTTCAGCCTGTTCGGCTGGTGCTGATACGATCATATACGATCGTGAATTATTACTGCTGGCTGGTTTGGTGTGAGAGAAAAATACTGTTCTGGCTTATAATCCACGATCGTTTACGACCAAGCGAACAGGCCGTTTATTGATGATCTCTAAATCAAGAACTAACATGAAGCGTGTGGAGCAATTCTTTAAAAATCAAACCGTGAAAAATACATTATATGCATGTCAAACAGGACGGTTCTGGTTTAACATTTATATGGGAACTATAATTCACTGGTACAATTGGGATTTGAAAGTGTTTCTGCAAGCATAGGTTCCCTGCTGTTATGTTGGGCCGAAACCTGGAAGGAGTGAATGGGCCGTCCTAGTAATCGCAAGCGTATATGGCTTTGGGCCCGAATTTATCTGGGCCCAAGGCCGTTCATACGGTCATCACCTTCATGGACAATTTTGACTTCATTTTGAATGACACTAGATGTTCGTTCCATCATGCAAATTTTAGAAAGTTTTTTTCAAAAAGGATATCAGAAAGGAGAAGACTTTCACAAATAAGAAGAAAAAAAGCTGTCAAGTATACGATTCTAACAACCTGGCGAAACCATCTCTACCTGGACCATTTTCGCGCTGATCAACGGATCACCTGTGCTGCTGCTGAGCAGCTGCATGCATGGTCCAGCCAGCGCTCCAGCCATGCCGAGCTATGGGTCTCTCTCCTTCACATGCACATCCATGCCCACTCCGATGTCCGATCCATCTCTCTCTCCTCGCTCGCCGCCTCGCCCTACCTGGGGGCCATCTACTGCGTGCAGCTGCAGATTGTCAGAATGATATGCTTCCATGAAGTAATCGGTAACTGAACTGTACTTACACTTACTGAGCTGTGTTCTGCTCTGCTCTTAGTATGACTTTTCAATGTCTCTGTCCGGCCGGCCTCCTTTTTTCTCCAGGCAAGGTGAAGATTCCTCGGTCCTAATCGCAAGGACAAGTACTGTATCTGTGCACATCGTCACCCATGTTCCATGAACCTGGAGATCATAAACCTAACGTTAACTTAATTATCAAGGTTTTGGCCGGTTTAAGAGCTGAACATTAAAATGTGGTCAGATGGTGGATAGTAGCTCGATATATACAGCTCCTGTCTGTGGCTGATGAGTGATAAGGTCACTTCACTTGTGTTGTTAGCGTCTAGGTCTGTCTGTTTCTCTGAAGTGTTTGTTACTTCAGTTGGCAGTCAGAGAAATATCGCACGCACTCCAAACCAGAAAATGATAAAAAGAAAGCAGACGATACCATTAAGTTACTTACTTGTATTACTAGGTGAAATTGCCGCCTGTAGGGTGCGAACTGTGAACTGAACTGAAGCCGGCATGCCATGGCCTGGCCATGGGCCATAGGAGCCTCTGAGCCACCTCTCATGCCTCCAGGCTCCAGGTGATGATGATTCTACAGTAGCGAGGACTGATGGCAGTTGCAGCAGAGGTTGTGTGCAGTGCAGACCATGCCTCCTCCTCCTCCTCCGCTCTCTCATCTGACCGCAGAGGAAAGAAGATTGTTGCACCGGCCTAAAGGGCCAGCGAAGCGAAGGTCATCTGCAGGCTCATCAGGCTGTGTACGCGTCGAGCGGCGGTTTCATGCTAGCAGGAGACTTGGACGTTGGAGTTGGACCAGCACAGCAGGCCGAAACGCGCAGTGGGCCGTGGGCGCGTCACCAAGGCAGTGGCCGATATCGGGAGGAATATTGCCCATACACCTGCAAGTCTGCAGCAGTTCGATCTGGACTCTGGAGCATGGAAACAAATCGTACTATAGCTTTTCAGGAGATCTTTTGAGCTCCCCCTCCACTGTGCAGTGCAGCTACAGCCTGCTGCAGCCCGGAGTTTGTACCGGTCACCTGATCGTTGCTCTTGCAGCCTTGCTCCAGGCTCCAGCTCCAGCTCCAGCAGGTAATAGAACAAGGCACGCAACAAGTTCAGAAAAGCTGGCTGCATCACCAACGGTTTAAAGTTCAGGGTCACACCGATGATGCTCTAGATGGAATTTGAGCATACTAATCCACTGGACAGTGCTAGTCTAGTAGTATATAGTAGATTCCAGTGTTGTGTTGGATCTCACATCTCTCAGCACCAGACATGAATTTCTGCTGCCAACTTGCGCTTGGGGGAAAAAATCAGAATAATAGCGAGATAGATGTTCATCATTTAGCTAGGAGCTGTACTGTGTACTCCCAAAGATGGTGCCAGAGCATTGGATAACGAACTAGAGTCTATGATGATCCGTATCAGTAAGACTTTTCAGAGCAGGACATGAACAACTTGTGCAAAAGGTGACATGCATGATGCCCATCTGGAGCCTGAGAACTCTGAAACCAAGAGGCGGCAAGAGCCCAAGAGATCTTACTTGGCCAATGGAGTATGCACACATCTCACTGCAGGGGTCTCTAGCTATAGTAGTTGTTCTGCAGTTCACATGCATGCACTCCAACAAGCAACTGGAGCTGGTCCCCTGCTTGTTCTTGCAGCGAGAGTACGTATTCTCTCTGTACCAGGACACAGGACAGGAGCACCTGGATGTGAGGATGGAAAGTGGTCAGTCTTCCTCCATCCAAGATGTGGACTGATGGGGAGCACCTGAATGTGGAAAGTTCCTGCTCAGCAGCAGCAGTAGTATGTGAGTTCGTTCCTCTGCTTTCCAGTCCTGCACCGCAGTTTATGTAGGTTGTGGTGGCAGGAGCGCTGACCGCCGGGCGGATCGCCTCGATCGGGGATGATAGTGATACGGCTATTGGCTGCGCTGCGCAGCGCAGGGTGCCGCCGATAGCTGTGGCTTCATGGTTCGGGGCGGATGATCAGATAGAATCGTGGCGTACGTGATGTGTATATCCTGCCTGGCAGCTGCAAGCGCTACCTAGCTAGCTTTGTCCGGAGCCCGGAGATAGGTTCGTGCAGTGCATGCGACCTGCATGCAGGCATTGAGTCCTCCCAGATTTTTTTTAACACTTTTTTTAAATTATTTTCAAATATAAAACTGTTTAATTTTTTTTTCTTCAAAACTAACACTTTTGACCGTGTCTATTCGCATGGCGCGGCAAAATCACGTTGTCGCGCCATGCATGGGGATGCAGTAGGAGCGGTGACGTGGCCGCGACTAGAGCGCGGATCTGGACGCGGCACTGACGCGTCACCGGGCATGGCGCGGCAATGCTCCCGCCGGCCACAGCATGAAGGACGAGGCGGCTGCGCAGGCGCCGCCCGCGTTCGTCGTCGGGCCCAGGGGCAGGGAGCTGCTGCTCCCGCCGCCGTCCTCAAACTACGAGGCGTGGGACCTCTCCGACAGCGAGTCCGCGCCGGCCTCCTCCTGGGCCACGCTCCCCAACAGGTACGCCGCGCCGCCCGGCCCTTCGTTCCCTCCTCCGCCGCCGCCGCCGCCGGGGGACCAGGCAGCAGCTAGTAACAATGCTCCCTCTTTCCTCTGTTCTTGCAGGGCGCTGCTGTGCCAGTACATCAGTTCTGCTCCTGTATGCATAGGATGCAAGTACAACACAAGTATGGCTTGGCTGAAGTACAAGGATCAACTACCACCAAAAGGGAGGATGACGAATTAACGATGTGTTTGCAACAAGCTGCCCGCATGTGTGGATGATGAGTGCAGAACTGCAGATAGGTCGAGTGTGCCAAGGCTGGCAAGTGTATAAACGCCGACAGTTTGGTGTAACTAGACTTGTTTGCTATTTCTATTATAAAACATTGCTTGACCGATTAAGTAACACTCAAGTTGCAAAAGGATAATCGCGTATTAGCATGATCTTTTATTCAATCGCCTTCTCAAGGTGAGAAGCTGGAAGACTGGAAGTACAGAACCGCTTAGATTACATCAGCTACTAAAGGTCAAAAACAAACACTCCCTCGCATGGCTCCCATTTCACAGGGTGCAGCACAGCTTTGCGTCGATCGATGTCAGGCAAATGCAGAACGCTTGGTAGCCGGTCAGCGGGTATCTGCAGAACACATTTTTCTGAGATGAAACTGATCTCGCAATTGAACAGAAAGCACTGGAGTAATTTTGGGTGAGGCTTTTTTTGTTACCTAAAATCCATTATGTACTTGGATTTCCCAACCCTACCAAGCTGCAACACTGTCTGCCTCTCGTTTTCCTGCCAAGCAAAGTTACATGTATCTTATGACTGCTGTGATCTCTGATACGTATGAACCAGACAAATGAAATGTTACCTCCAAAGGCATCTGAAAATTCTTGACCGATGTTTGCACCTTGTACCCCATCCTTCCTGCCCTCTCTCTGAAGTCCAGTTCGTAGCGCTTTGTCATCTGTCGTGAAGAGGCACACGGAACCATAACAACACAAATCAACAAATCAACAATCATCAGCTTGCCTCTTGAGAGTTGAGATACCACTCCGAGGAATACGCATCAAACAAGCTGTCATGAACTCCTTACATGGTTGTAGAACGGAGCTCTTGAGTACAACTGGTCAGCTCTGCTCTTCTTCTCCTGCCAATCCTTTGGGAGCCCACTGACATGCTGAATCTGCAAACTTCCATAGTCACTAAGAACCATCTGCCTGATTCCAAACTAGCTCGCTGAATGTTGAAAAAAAAAAATCATCTGAACTTACCTGAGCAGAATTGTTGGTCTTGAGCTGCATGGACTGGTTCTTGGGGATCCATGCCCTCATACTTCTGAAACTCCCGGTGAGCGTAGTGATGGTGGGGGCAAACCTGAAGGAACCAAAAACTCTGGGTCAAGAAGCATTCCGGAAGGGAGCATCTGATTCCTGATGGATTTTGAGGTCGGTCGGATCTTACGCGACAACGCCAAGAAGCCGTTTCGACTGGTTCTTCAGCTCGTCCGCTCGGCTCCCCTGCCAGCCATGAACATTTGCTCATCAAGTGCTCAACGCAATCAGGATTCAGGAAGAAGCATGATTTGAGGTGTGGACGTACCTGGCCCCAGATTTGGTACTTGGATCCGACCAGGTTGGCAACCACCGTGCCGAGGAAGTTGTTGTCGGAGGTGCAGAAGTTGCCGTCCTGGTTCTGCGTCACGATGAACTCGGACCTGCCCCTCCTCCTCCGGTGCCGCGCCACCGCCAGCTTGCGGTCCTGCCGCCCTGCCCCTCCTGCGCCATTCCACAAACACAAATTAACCTCGGATTGCTCTGACATCGCCTTTCAGATTTCAAACAATGAAGCTCGGAGGACAGCTCACGTTGGTGTAGAGGGAGTAGAGCGCGACGCCTCTGGCGCCGGTGGCCGCCTCCCTGACGATGACGCACGTGCACCGGCCGAGGTCCTGCGGCAGAGACCAGCACAGCAGCGCCCTGCACGAACAGAGGAAAGAGGGAGCATTGTTACTAGCTGCTGCCTGGTCCCCCGGCGGCGGCGGCGGCGGAGGGAACGAAGGGCCGGGCGGCGCGGCGTACCCTGTTGGGGAGCGAGGCCCAGGAGGAGGCCGCGCCACCGCCAGCTTGCGGTCCTGCAGCACCCTGCCCCTGGGCCCGACGACGAACGCGGGCGGCGCCTGCGCAGCCGCGTCGACCGCCTCGTCCTTCATGCTGTGGCCGGCGGGAGCATTGTCGCGCCATGCTTAGTGCGTCAGTGTCGCGCTCAGATGCATGGCGCGGTAGCTCCGGCCACGTCAGCGTTCAGCAGCTCTGGTTGTGACCACATCACCGCTCCTACCACGCTTCATGCATGGCGCGGCAACATGATTTCACCGTGTCATGCGAACAGGAGCTGACCAAAAGGATTAGTTTTAAAAAAAAAAATAAACAGTGTAATATTTGAAAATAGTTTTTAAAAAAATGTTAAAAAAAATTCCTGATCATATACCCCCACCCAACAGTTTCACGAATCACAATTAGAACAAGTCTACTTAACCCTCCACCTTTCATACATGGTCTACTTCACCCCCAACTATGAAACCGTCTGTTTTACCCCCCTGAGCTTTCCAAAACCGTCTATTTCACCCTCCGGTGGTTTTTGACTGCGGATGCTACAGTAACAGCGGGTTTGTTACAGTAGCATCGTGTTGCTACAGTATCGATGGGTTTGAATTTTCTTTTTTTTATTTATTTTGGTGAATTTTTGAAAAATCATAGAAAAATAAAAAATCTAATTTTATTGGACTCCACGTGAGTAGATCTACACAGTGAATATATAATACGGTATGCTTTAGTACAAAATTTTTACTGTAGCCTTAGATTAATTGAAAAATCTAATTTTGTCTATAATTAATTGGAATAAATCATAGCTGCAGCTTATGGTCCAATTATGGTGAAATTTTTATGGTACGTTAATTATTGTATGCTTGAACTATAGTAAAAATTTCGTACTCATTGGACTATGTATAACTTAGTTATAGATAAATTCTAATTAATTACAGACAAAATTGGATTTTCCAATTAATCTAAAGTTACAAAAAAAAAATTTACTAAAGCATACCGTATTATATATTCACTGTATAGATCTACTCATGTGGAGTCCAATAAAATTAGATTTTTCATTTTATGATTTTTCTATGATTTTTTAAAAATTCACCGAAAATAAATAAATAAAAAAATTCAAACCCACCGGGACGGTAGCAAACCCGTTGTTACTGTAGCAAAATCGCTGTCAAAAACCGTCCGGAGGGTAAAATAGACGGTTTTGGAAAGTTCAGGGGGTAAAATAGACGGTTTCATAGTTGAGGGTGAAGTAGACCATGTATGAAAGGTGGGGGGTTAAGTAGACTTTTTCCGATAATCTCGATCGCTGCCTGTTGGGCCGGGTTTAGATATAACCTTGTACATGTGGTACGTAGCGTACGATCGACCTCGAGAAAATGTAACTATTCTTGTCCAAGGAGAACAACAGTGCGTTTTAGTTCTTTCTTGGTCAACTAATACTACTAACTGAAACAGAAATGCTATAGGACACGTGTGTTTTGTGGTTTGTTGGCATATGAATTTTCTGGCCGCAGGATGGAGAATGGAACGTCCGATCTGTGCTGGTTGCTTTGTGTCTCTGTCATGTGGGGTCTAGATGCCGACGCCACTGTTTGATTTTTGGGAGTCGCGTCCGGAGTTATGTGTCCGTTCCCCTCTTTCCCCATTCTCATTTCGTCTTCCTCCTAGCGACTCCCTGTTCCCCACGGCGGCGACTGGCGATTTAGGTTTGGCCCCGGAGTTGTGTGTTCTGCCACAGCCGCGCCTCCATCTCCTTCTCCGTCAGCTTCCGCTGAGCGCGCCGACTCCAGCGCCTCGATCCGCTCCCTATCCCGCCGGTGCTGGAGCTCGTGTAGCCTCTGCTCTAGCTCCGTCGCAGAGACTCCTCCCTCGTGCCGCTGCTCTCACGACTCGTCGTCGTCGTTGTTGTCCATGAGAGGAAGCGGAGTGGAGGCGCTTTCCTGTGTGGCATCGCGGCGATCTTCCAGCGCACTGCCCGCCCGACCGCCCCACCTTGCCTCGTTTCTCCCCTCGCCGAATCGGAGCCTCGCTTGCGTCCACCAGTCTCAGAGCTTGAGATCTACTTTCGCACGCCGCGCGCCCCCAGGATTCAGGTTTGGTGCCCTGTCCTCGCCTATGCGATTTGTGCCCTGGGGTTTCGGTTTCGGCTCCTTGTTCGTGTGATTCTCAGTGATTTGTGTTAGTTACGGTTTTTAGGAAGGGATGATCCGTTTGGATTCTGGTGTACAGAACGACGGTGGATCCGTCCATTTTGCTGAATGTCTCCCGATCTGTTCTATTTTGTGGTGTTGAGAAGCTCGGTTATTCTAGAAAAGTGATGAGGATGGAGGATGGCATCCGAAAGGTCTTAGGAGGCAAATCTGGATCTGTCACTCGCTCATCACTGGCTCAAAGTGATAGCAGAAACCCTGCCTAGATTTGCAGCTTCCAGCAGGGTAAGTTGCAGATTAGATTAGGGTGATATGCCATGTTTCAGATTGTACTTTACCGGCTTTTGTAGCTTGTCATTTTAAACACTAGAAAAAAGAACAAATAGAGAAATGCTAATGTATATGAAGATACTCCATAAAGTCATCTTGTTAGATTAGCCCCTTGATCTGTGTTCCTCATCTGTTGCTTGATTTATTCGATCCCCTTTCCTGATGTGGTGTCAATTTGCTCGATTGGTTGTGTTTTTGTTCCGTTACTGTTGTCTCGCTGTAGCCCTCTTCCCGCAGGAAGTCCACCAGCCGCAAGTAGTGAAGCGAATTGCGTTAGCCAGAAGTAACAGGTGAATCCCAATCTACGGCTGGGCTGACTGGCAGCAATTACTAATGCCGTCGGCCAAGGCTACTGTACTCATTAAAGTTTTTAAAGTTCTCTATATGTATTTGCTAGTGGTGTCACTGGAGTTAAGTTTCTTTGGGTGAGGAGCATACAATTCCAAAGATCATAAAACTAGACTTGCAGGTGTTTTGTTCTTTCTAGTCTGAACCTGTATTCCATCAGTTTGTGCTAACTGAATCTAGAGAACCAATGATCGGGATAGGGGTCTGTAGAGCTAGTTTGGTTGCTTTGTCTGATAGCATTTGTTTGTTTTTTCATTTTTTCCGTTGCCTTGAAGGTGAGACAACAGGCCTTTTTCACTTTGCGTCTGGGGCACCACTCCTTCCCTCCGATATTTTCCCAGACGCAGTGGTATTGGCAATGACCTTTCAGTGGTATTGTCTCTGTGATGATAGTGAGTTGACTGAGTTCTGAATTCTGGTGTCAGCATGTAAAAGGTAACAGTAGCAAGAAATTTGCATACAGTTGCAGGTCATCTATAGCCCTACGTGACAGGTAGCTGATGTAGCTTTGTGGAAGATGTACACTTGTAGTTAGTGTTGCATACCATATACTGTACAAGAAAGTTGTGTTTAGTTTAGTTATAACAAAAAAAGGAAATAAAGCTATGTTCAAATAGAAAATATCTTCCTGTAAATTTCGTTCTGAAAATCTTCCCTATGAATGCAGTTTTGCCCAACATTCTAGGACTGTAAATCTAGTAATCATTTTTGGCATTATGTAACTCATTGATTATCTGAAATAGAATAATCTGAGTTGCATGATTTGTCTCCTTGCTTTTGAAATGATTGTTGCTATGATTAAAAGTATTTATATTTTTTCATTTTTTCTATTTATTTTCAGTCCAATGACAACCTAAACTTAGGTGGTGTGAAGAATGTCCAAACTATTTCTTGTCCTGATTTGCATGTTTCAGTCCCCAAAGCTATTCCTTGTAAATCAAAAGGCTATCCTTTGTCTGAAACTGCAGCTCCTGATTTGCATCTTAATGGTTAGTATCTATTTCTTGATTGCACATTTATAAGTAGTAAATTGCACACTTGAATTACTGCTATTACGGTGTTTTTCATGTGCAATTATGTTGAGAAAGCTTGTATTTGTGTCAACACAGATCAAATGTTTGTCCTTGTTTGACTATAGAAACAATTGTAATTGTTAATTGTCTTTGTGTTAATGCATATTTTGTTGCTAAACGCACTAGTATATTGAGCTTCTTGCGTTCTAGGTCCTTTTGAGTTTCCAGTGAAGTTGTTAATTTGTTTGTTGGATGCCCTTTGACTCCTTGCAAATGCACTAAACTAGGATCTACATCTATGTTTGTACACTTAATCTGCTCAGACAATTTGTGAAATGAATTCCTGCCTTTCCATTTAAAGTGACAAATGATATTTTATTGATTTTGACTCATTTGTTGTGATTCATGTTGATCTATCCATGGCTAAAGCTGAAGATAATGGTGTTGAGGCTGTAAGTGCTATTATAAGCATCCTTCGCATGCAACCTTGCAAGGTCAGTCTTTTTTATCATTCTTTTTCCTATCAAATGAATGCAGGAGCAGGATAATCGATGTTCTTTTGAATGTAGGACCCTAACATTCTGAGCAGTGACTGTTTATGGTTTTGATCTTGTTCATGGAAGCTAAATTACATCTTCCTGTCAAGAAAATAGTAGCTAATGAAGCGATCGCTATCTTTGTGTTGTCGGATTTCAAATCATAGTGCATCGTAGAAGCACAACCTTTAGCCTTCAGGTCTGGCCTAGTCCTGTCTGCCCAGAACCAAAAGACTAGCTCCTTTGCCATCTTTGTTCTTCTCCATAGTAGTTGTAGTGCGTGCTCTGTACCTGTTAATCTCTCCTATATTTATGAAAACCAAACAAAAAACATTATCAATTAATTACAATCAGCAATAATGTAAATTGCAACTACCCAACACCGCAATTGTAGTTTTGAGCATTTGCAATATGTGAAAACTTTAGTTAGGTCATGACTGTAATTGGTATTTACATTGTTTTAAGCAAATTTGTGATAACTTTCAACGTTCATTTCCATATCCCTTGAAATACCAACCTACAAATCAAAAGAGGAATGGATTAGCTTACAACTTAGTAGTTCATATATAATTCAATGCCAAAAGGTTTTCCATAGAGTGTATGGGCCTAAGACCTGTCTGGATGCATAGTTGATGGACCTCACTTTCCTGACATACCTATTAAGAATCTATGTTAACCATTTTGTCTGAAACATCTCATTATGCTCATAGTCTGTCCCTTTGCGACTTAC